TTATTTTTTATTTGCATATTTATAAACAATTTTTGTGTTTCGCTTAATTCTGAATACTGTTTCCAAAAACTGAGATTACTAAATTTGGTAGCATATTTTAATCGTTGTTTATACTTAATAAGATTATTACGCAAGGCATTATTTTGTTTTGTAATTATATTGCTCTTAACATATATTCTTTTTGCTATTGGAGTCAAATGGTCCTTTCTAGTTACACTTCCAAGTATATTTCTGCGAAAAAGATTTGTAGGACGAACACGTTTTAGTGTTCCCAGAATGTCAACATCAAGCGGGTGTGTTTCTTGTTTTGATTCTTTTTCAATATTGATATTGCTTTCTAATAAAGTATTTTCTCGTTGAACTTCACTTGTACTAGGCTGAGAGATATCAATTTCCATTGTTCCATTATTCTCATCTATTTCATTAGATTGCATATTAATTTCAAATGCACTTTCTTCTTCAATTAGACTCGTACTAGGCTGATAAATATCAGTTTCAACTGTTGTACTCGATAAATTCTGATTCGGAACAGCATCATGCTTCAATCGTCTACGATTTAGACTAAAAATGTATGAATTTTCACTGAAGTGTAAGTGGCAAATTCTATATTTTCTGACTTCTTGTTCAGATAGATTTAATATCCGTGGCACCGATACTGTTTCTAGCCATTTTTTCATTAATTCTATATTTTTGGGAAAATAATGCCCAGGAGCTTTAACAGGAGATGTACAACCTGGGATTATGCATTTCCAACCTATTTTAGCTGTCATTTTTCTACAAATAAATTGTTTTAGTGAAAGACTAATAATTTTATGCAAATGTTTTACATTCAAGGAAATGATAAATATAGTTAGTATCAATATAACCTAACCTGTCAATATAATCTAACCTGTTTTTGAGAGATACTCCAACCACAAAGCTTCACAGTGTCTCACGTGGATCGAAGCCTGCCGAATTCACTCGCCGTCTCCATGATGCTTCAAAATATACAAGTCTCGTATATAGACAATCTCAGTTGTCAATAATATTGCAAAAAAGACCGATCCCGTTTAGTCTCGTTGGAATTGTGTTGGAACACGTTGAAAAGCTGGCGATAACAGAATCATGTTACCAGTGGTTACCGCGCGGTTACCAGTGAGTTCTATTATAGTTCCGAAAAATTTGTCTATTCGCCCAGATGGTGCAGAAATACGGCTTGACTTTTCACATGAGTGTGTCCATACCCTGGTCCTAAGGAGCTCCGCGAGCCGGCTTATATACCCGTTTGGGAGCCCCCACGCGCCGGCGGCGAGCCGAAGGTAGGAGTCGGCACACGGCGCGGCATGCGGCGTTCAAGCGCAGGACGCGTGCTCGATGCTTGCGTCACGCGATTGGTGTGCCTTCGCGATTATGTGAGGCTCTTAAAATGTGGCGCTTCGTGCCGTTTCCGACCCGACTGATGGTCGGTCGGGTCGGTCGTGACGAGTATATCGTCACAATATATATATATATATATATATATATATATATATATATATATATATAT